GCTGGCGGGGCTGGTGTGTGTGTGTGTGTGTGTGTGTGTGTGTGTGTGTGTGTGTGTGTGTGTGTGTGTGTGTGTGTGTGTGTGTGTGTGTGTGTGTGTGTGTGTGTGTGCTGTGCCCTGTTGAGACCCAATTAGGAGGGCGCTTTGACGTTAGACCTCCCCTCGGTGGCCTGAGTTGCTTTGAGAAGATTTTGGGAGGGGTGGAGGGAGCATGGGACGGTCTCTGTGGTCCTGCAAGAGGGGTGAGGCTCCGGTAGCAGAGGGACTCCTCCTAGGAGACATGGGTGCCCATCAGGACTGGCACAGGGTGGCGCGTGAGACAGAAATCAAGATCCACAGCAGCATCAGAGGGTGCAAATGGATGCTGGCGCCCTGCCTCCTCCCTGGGGAGGGCCCTCTTCCATCTCATGGCACACCCTGCCAAAGGGAAGGATGGGCTTTTGGCTCAAAAGGGCTCAAAAGAGGTCCATGATTCCATTTGGATTCCCTTCTCAGGGGGACGTGGGGGCTCTGGCACTCTTTCCAACCATCCAGAGGGGCAGGGTCTGGTGCCATGCTTCCCCTAAGGGACCAGGCTCGACTGGGCAGGGCAGGGCAGCACCAGCACCCAACATCCTCAAAAAATCACCCAAGTCCTGTGCATGTATGTTTGCTTGCTTGCTCAACTTCTATACTGTACTACCCACCTGGCCAAGTTATGCAGTGCAAAATTAGAGGCAATTTTGGTTCCATAAATGAACCAGCAAAGCATCTCACTCCAGCAGGGAAGATCATGAGCAGGTGATCTGTGTGCTTGCTGCCAAGGATTTGGCCAGCTGGCCTGAGCTGAGGATGATGGGCAGCTTCACAGCCCTTGATCTCCTTCCTTCTGGCAGTTCTTTCTCTTTAGCCTTGGAGTGGGCAGCCCTGCCAAAAGAGAATAAAAAGAGGACCTTTCTTTATAAAAGAGGACTCCTGTGTCTGAGTATGAAGACGTTGCTTAATTCATGATCATGGACAGCATCTTTGGGCGCCATAAAGAGACAGCAGTTGAAAGGATGAGTTGGCTAGTAGTGTATAGGATTAAATGAATGGAATAACCTTCCAGATTTGTAAATAGCCATGCTTTGCAGATTTTTAGTCCAAGGTTTTCACAGTGGCTATTTCTGAGATCTGCAATTGCTTATAGTACTGTGTGAAGTTTCTTGATATGGTTCCCAAAGCCCTGATGACGACGGGGACCCCTGAATTGCGTTTCATCCACAAGCGAGATGTTTCAATGGCCAGGTCTCTGTCCTTTGTTAGCTTTTCCAATTCTTTATTTTCAGCTCTGGCATCCCCTGGAATTGCAATGTTGATGATCCAGACATTTCTTCATTCTATCACTACTATGTCCAGTGTGTTACGTTCAAGACGTCTATCCGTTGGGATCAATAAATCCTACAATATCTTGACTTTGTCCTTCTGACACCTTCTCTACCTGACGCTCCCGTGGGCTTTTAGAGGCTGGCAAGTTATATATTTTTTCCACAATGAGTCTCATGACCCATGCAAGGCCTGCCATTGATCCTCAACCTGCATGGCGGGGGGGGGGGTAATGAGGCAGCTCATCCGTATGGCACAGGTTGGAAGGGGGCCCAAAGTGATGGTTTTGGGAAGGAGCGCGCGGAGAAAGACTAGACCAGAAACCTCTTCCCTCTTCACCTCCTCCTGGATGCGGATCGCCCTCCAAAATGCAACTCACATGAGCACACACAGAGAAAGCAAAGGCTTTCTCCTTTCCTTCTGCTCTGAACCCGCCTGGCCTCATTGGCTGTTAATCCTCCCTAATTGCTGGTAATTGACCTTCTGGCCCCTTCCTTTGCTGCAGGTGTTTGAAGGAACATCTGGCATAGATGCCCAGAAGACCTCTTGTGAGTTCACGGGGGATATTCTCCGCACCCCTGTTTCCGAGGACATGCTAGGTATGTACTGCCCTTCTCCTCCCCCCACCAGGAGGGAGAGCAAATTCTGTCCTGTCATAAGACCCTCACTTGTACAAGGGGGTGGTGGTGAGCTGAGTCCAGCAGGCAAAGAGGCGGGTGGGGTGGGGGGACAAAGAAGCCCTCAGGATGGGAGCAGCTCCCTCTCACAAAGGATCTGA